ATCATTTAGAGGTTTAAATTTATTGAATAAATTGGAGCTAAATGGGAGAGCAATAATATCATTCTAGTGAGTTGTTTTATTATTTAATTCTATTTAGAAAATTAAGAATTAATTATATTTCATAATTTAGATTCCATTAAGAAAGGAACATTCCTTCTACAATATTACCTAGGGTTAGGAGACTACGGAGTCTTCTAGGTAATGAAGGTTAGAAGGAATAGGACTTCTAGATGGGATAAGATATGGAGCATAATTAGAATTTCTAAGCCTAATGGGATAAGTCCATATTTAGCATCTCCTTAAGGTCCCTATGTAGCCTATAAATACACCATGTCCCAACCTCTTCCTCTACATTGATGATACACGATTTTGGGGTCTTCCCAAGAGTGGAAAATTGAGCATCTTCATATATTCGAGAGTTCAGGAGATTCAATTAATCGCACCACCAAGATTAATTGAAGTAGATGTTTAAGTAATATATTAGAATGCTTTTGGGTAATATTTATTCGAGCCTTTTAACTGTGAGATTTCGGCCACCTACTACCGCCGCGAGCCGCCGCCGGAATTCACCTGTGCCCACCACACGCAGCCGCGCACATCCAGCGCCCAGCCGCGTGCCGCCCGATGCCGGTACCCGCTCCCAACGACGCATGCACGCCGTCCATGTACACCGTGCGCCACCGTCAACCCGCGATCTTCGCGCGCTGCTCCCAGAGCGAGAGACCGTACGTGCACGCTAGTCCACGCACGACCAGGAGACCCAAGACGTACACCCGCGTGACCACAGTCATCCGCGCCCAGTCTTAACAGGCGTAGAAGTCCGGCGATCGCATGCGCCTGTCCTTCTCGCCGCCGACCCGCGTCCGCGACACCCGACCACTTGTCTGCAACGTGCACCGCCATTGACCGCGACTCGTGTCACCTGTCCGCGACCAACGCCTGACCAGAACCGAGACGTATCGTGACCGAGCTGCAACGAGCCAACCGATACCAGCCGCAACCAGCTGGGGTCTGACCGAGCCCAACAGCGACCGACCGAGCTGAACCACATCCTACCGGCCCGAGCTCAACGAGCGTTGACCCGTTGACCCGTTTATGATTCAATGACTCAATTAGGATCGAGAAAGGCCAAGTCCGGCAGCCCATCGGGCTTTGGTGTTCAGACGATCTCCATCGAAAGAAATCAGAAACGTCTTAGAGTCGGCAAAAATTTTAAACAGTAATGTCCTAACCCTAACTATAGATTCCACTGCATTAGGGTTTATTTTGCCAAATTCAAACGTGCATGTTGTTGACGTTTCTAACAAAAACCCAACAAACCTCACCTGTCGTAGTGCCCTTGGTTTCAGACAGGTGCTTGTTGCTAACGGAGACCGGCGCTGAGAACAGTGGATGACAAGGATTTGGTTGTCGTGAGCAGTGCCGAAGGGAGCTTGTTGCTAGCGGAGATGGGAGGACCGACGTCGACGGGGAGTTTGACAATTGATTTGGTCGTCAATTTGCCCATTTTTGGCGGCGTCGAAAGGGAGTTTGTCACGGTAAGGAGCGCCGGTGTATGTCATGTCCGATGACTGGGGCGGCGTTGTTGGTCGGAGGCGAGGAGATGACCGGCTGGTGGTGCGCATTTTGATCTGTGCAGGCGTGTGTGTGTACTGTGTGCGTATAATATGTGTGAGTGTGTGAGAGAGAGATAGTTGGTGGGATGGTGAGATGTAGTCGCCACGTGGCAGGAACTTA